AGAAATTGCAAGTAGATAAATAGGTACCACTTCGGTGGGAAGGTAACAGCGTTCCGTGCGCCTTGGTGTTTAGTCATGCCGGCCACATGACCACGGAAACGTCTTCGGACAGCGCTGGCTCTTCGGCTTTGAAACGGAGATGAGCACCGCAACCCTAGAGTCGGATTTGACTGGCTTTCGAGCAAGGGAACCTTTACCTTTACCTTTACTTTCACTACCCAAGGGAGTCTCCGAGCAGCTTACAAACTCCTTTTCCCTTCCTCTCCCTGCAACAGACACCCTGTGAGCAATGTTCCCTGTAAGATGTGGAATCTTGTGAGCAAAAATCCTACTTTGTGAGCTACTGGCATTAAAGTTGTGAGCGAGCAATTTGGCTGCTGCATAAATTAGTCTGCTCCGGAGCTGTCCTTCTTGAGCTCAGACAAAAATCTATGAGCTGGAGGCTAAAAAACTGGGAGCTCGCTCACACTAACTCAGCTTGGAGGGAACACTGCCTGTGAGGTAGGTGGAGCTGAGAGAGTTCTTGACAGAAACTGCTCTTTTTTCAAGAACAGCTCCTGTCAGAACTATGGCTTGCCCAAGGTCATCCAGCCAGGTGCAAGTGGAGGAGCGGGGGAATCGAACCCGGTTCTCCCAGATTAGAGTCCGTGCACTTAACCACTACACCAAACTTAACCACTACACCAAACATGGGGAGGGGGATTCCACCAGCCTCACTTTCTCACCGAGCCCAGTGTGGCTCATGGGCAGCATGGATGTCACTGGCATGCCCGATGTGGCTCCTGAGGTGTGTGACCGCCGTCACCATGCCCGGTGTGGCTCCCGGGCTGTGCAGTCACCGCCACCAGGTCCAACAGGGCTCCTGGGCTGTGCCACCACTGGGCCCAGCAAGGCTCCCCAGGGCTGCCATTGGACCCAGCACGGCTCCTACGCTCCAGCAACTACCGCCAGGGGGTAGGTGTGTTCTCTGGGCTTGTGGAAAGAATGTTATTTTACTTTGAGGGGGATTAAAAACCCTCTGTGTATGCTTTGAAGGATTCAGAGGTCACCCAAGTTTGCAGAAATATCTGTTTAGTGTAAGTGTGGCCACGATCCATGGAATTAGGTATCTGCGGGTTGGGGTCACACTCAGAGGTCGATTCGGGGGGGATCGCGGGGGATCGCAGTTCCCCCGGGTGAGGTGCGGGAAGGGAGGGCCTTGGCGGGGCTTCCTCGCACTCCCGCCGGCCTTGCAGGTCCACCGCCTGGCCCCTGATGTGTGGCATAGGCGATGTGGCATATGCTAATGAGTTGTGCTAATGAGTTCTTCTAGCTCTTTTTCTACGAAACGACCCCTGGTCACACTTGAGAAAAAGCATCTAGATAGGGAAAGCTTATCTTAAGCTACAGAGCCCAGGCTT